TTTTGCTGCAAATACCAAAGAGCTCTGCTCTTTAGAACTGCAAACTGTGCAGAGGGCTATGCTTCCGCCAGAGTTTAAGATCCAGCTATTAGCACAACAATTTGTAGAGAGAAGTGTCCGTTTTCTGTAGAGATCACAATAAAAAGATAAATTTGACAGTGCTCACAGAGAAACAGAAAGCCTCCAGGTCTCAACACCAGTGGCATGAGGACCAGTCTTGAAATTGAGGGCGTGTTGCAATACTATAAAAGCTAATAAAGTCAACCAACTAAGAATCATAGTTGGAAGAGTCCACAAAGGCCATCCAGTTCAATGCCCTGCTATGCAGGAATACAGAATAAAAACAATTCTGACAAATGGTCATCCAGTCTCTGCTGAAAACCTCCAGAGAAGGAGACTCCACCAAACTTGAAGGCACCGTCAAATGGGTCTAATTCTCAGGAAATTCTTTCTAACATTCAAGTGGAATCTCTTTTCCTGCAGCCATATTTAATGATTTTAAAGGATGTCAAATTGAAGATGTAGCAAGCTTGTTTTCCGCTGCTAGACTAGGTCATGGAGCAATGGATAAAAACTGCAGAAAAAAAATGACATATCAGTTTGACAGTGGAAAATGCTGCCTCACATCCTATATCTCTGCACTTCATGTTTTGAAGAATATACAGCAGTGGTTCCCAATCTGTGGCCTGTGGACCACCAGTGGTCTGCAAGAATGAAAATATGGTCTGCAGCCTCACCATTACTACACCACTGTCTTGAAACCACGCAGCAATGAGAGTCACTGGTCTCGCAAAACCCTCTTATAGTGCCAAGGCAATGGGAATGTCAGGAGGGGAGATGCTGACTACCTACGAAAGATTATTATTACCACATCAGCTCTTATTTATTAAATATGGTTTTCTGTGGGCGAGCAGATAGTGACTACTTGGTGGCAGATGTTCTGTATCAGAAACTAGAGCTGATGTGGTCTATCCAATGCAGTTTTCTGAATCAGCACCCCAAATAATCAAACCGAATTTAAAGTTGACCAAAAACTGAACCATAACCCTTTTCGGTACTAATGTTGGAGAGTAGTCCCTGGTCAAAAAAAGTCTGGGAATCACTGATATAGAGCAAACAGTATGCTGATGACATGGTGTACTATCTCACTTTCCCATCAGAGTCAAACAAGGCAGGGAAGTCTTTACTCAATGAACTGGATGAAGATAATTAATTGAAGCTCAATCCAGATGACAGAAATATTATATAGTGGGTAGCTCATAGAGCTTCCAAGTTGTAGCCATAAATGCTTATGCCTTTCCCTGAATAAAGGTCTAAAGTTATATTTGTAACTTGTCAGAGGACAGCTTTATCCTCTGCTGTGTTACTTCTGTCCTTATGTGTTCATAACTCTTAAATATGAAGAATATATCATGTTTCAAAAGTCTCTTGTGCTTTAGGAAATATTAATGTGGATTGGAAGAGAGTGCAATCAAAAAAACTATAAAAATATTTTAGAAATGGGAAACTAATGAACTATTTGTCAAACATTAAAATATAATGGTAACTATGTTGTGTGTAATTATAATTAATGCAACATAATTTCCATGTGTGTAAATGAGTGGTGTCCACCCTTCCCCTCCTCCTCGATTACATTATTATTATCTCTCCTTTCCTCAAAATTGAGGTCCAAAGTGGTTCACATACTTAAAAAGCAAAACAATTAAAAACATACAACAGATAAATATTATAATGGAATTCAAACTTCTTGAAGAGGTTTTGTACTGCCTTATAAATAGAAGTCCTCTCAGTGAAGGCAATGATGAAGAATGCTGGAAGCTGTAGTCCACTTGGATTTCCATCTCGGTCAAAAAGGATCATTTTTGTAGATTGTGGAGCCATCGTTTGCATTTGAGGTAAAACATCATTTGGGTCCCACTGCACTTCCCCTTGACAACACAGTGGAGTGGGCATTTAGTACAAAACATGACAGCAGGAGTTAAAATTGTTATTTATTAATATTATGGCAAATATTATATAGTTTTTCCTGGCTTCACCTTCTTGTACCAAATACTATGTGTTGGTGTTGCCTTATAATGATACAGGCTACTTGAGCTTGAAGGAGTACCAAGCTCAGAAAGGTCTGCATGGCGCCTGCCTTATCTTTTTAGTTCCACGCAAATACTTTTAAATGTTCTCATGCATTTATTTACTTATTTAGAACATTTATATGCCACCCTTCTCACCCCGAAGGGGACTCAGAGCGGCTTACAAGATATATATACATACAATATAGTATATTATTAGTATAGCAAATTCTTTTTCTGAGAAACTTTTCGGCTCTATTGTTGGGATGCCTGTTATTTACTTCCCACTGTTTTTAATGTTGTTTATATCCTTTTTGTTTCAGTTTACATGAATTGCTTTTTTTTTTTTTGGTACATTGCTGTTAAAACAAATGGCTGTTAGCTATTTTTAAATACACTTGAGAAATGAATATAGGTTGAGCATCTCCTATCCAAAACTCTCCAAAATCTGGAAGACGCTATGTCGGTGTTGGGTCAGGAAGTTTTATTTCAAATTGAACACATGGGTTTTACTGTAATTGGAAAGTGTAAACTTACTACTGCTGATTGGTGGCTTTGTATAGCAATAATTATGTTATAATGAGTACACTTTGGAAATAATAATTTGAAAAAAATCATTAAAAACAAAATCTAAAAATTCAAAATGTTCACACATGTTTTTTTGTTCAGTCACTTCTGACTCTTTGTGACCTCATGGACCAGCCCACGCCAGAGATCCCTGTCGGCTGTCACCACCCCCAGCTCCTTCAGAGTCAAGCCAGTCACTTCAAAGATACCATCCATCCATCTTGCCCTTGGTTGGCCCCTCTTCCTGTGCTTTCCAATTGATCATTGTACCAAAATGTTAAAAAACATGGTATAAGACTATAAGGTGTATATGGAACAGAAATTAATTTTGTGTTTGGAGTTGGGTCTTACCTGCAAAACGGCTCATTATATATATGTAAACATTCCAAAATCTGAAATCCAAAACATAAAATCTGTTGGAGCATGCAGGGTATTAGTAAGTTTGTGTGTATCAACTGTAAAATAAGATGTATGAAGCTGATTGCTGATTGGGCAATGCCAGGGGAGATAGCTGAGCCTGGGTCTTTTGGATACTGTTACATTTTTGTTCAGGCCTAAGCTATGTACGTGTTCAGAGAGACAGTTTGAAGAAACAGAAAGAGAGAGAGAGAGAGAGAGAGTTTGGAGTGTACTCTCGCTTCACGAGCTGCTGAAGGAGTTTATCCACATGTGTGGGCTGATCAAATGTGAACTACACGTGGTTTATTTTACATTAGGCCACAAACTCAATGTGTACGTTTTTAGTTTCAGCACTTAAACAAATCACTTTATTTTAGTCTATGTGTGTGGGGTTTCTTTCTTTCTTTCTTTTAGAATATTGGGGTATATTAATGTTTTATACCTCAGTATAATCACAGGATGTCTTAAACCTACACCTGTTGATAAACTCTACAAGCTAGCTGGCATCCCCCCCTCCCCCGATGTGTGCTGGGAAGTTGCCGCTAATTGTGAGAGAAATAAGGTTGAGCACTATGAAAGCCATCCACTACATGGCAAGGGAAAGCTTTATGAGAACTACCACTCTTCTTGGCGTCCCCACAGCAACAGCAAAGGTATCCCTCTAGGCAGCTAAACCTGGAAATCCCAACTGGATGACCCCCTGCGAGGGTCTTCCTCCAGGGACAAACCAAGAATGGTCAACTTGGAAGTCCCTGAATAGACTCAGAAGCGGAGTGGGCAGATCAAAAGACAACCTGGCAAAATGGCACTACCTAAAAGAATCCCACACATTGTGTGACTGTGGAGCAGAACAGACAACTCCACATCTGTATGCTTGTCCATTGTGCCCTGCCTCATGTGCAGAAGAGGAATTATTGGAGACTACAGACAATGCCGTTGCTGTCGCCCGTTTTTGGTCAAAAGATATTTACCCGCCTGTGCTCCTTCTATTTTTATCAGTTTTATACTAATTTATGCAATGCTTTTGATACAAAGTAAATAAATACCCAGTAGTCAATATGTCAATAGGAGCCCCCGGTGGCGCAGTGGGTTAAAGCGCTGAGCTGCTGAGCTTGTTGACCGAAACGTCACAGGTTTGATTCCGGGGAGCGGCGTGAGCTTCCGCTGTCAGGCCCAGCTTCTGCCAATCTAGCAGTTTGAAAACATGCAAATGTGAGTAGATGAATAGGTACCACTCCGGCAGGAAGGTAACGGCGCTTCATGCAGTCATGGCGGGTGCATGACTTTGGAGGTGTCTATGGACAATGCTGGCTCTTCGGCTTAGAAATAGAGATAAGCACCACACCCGAGTCAGACATGACTGGACTTAATGTCAGGGGACAACCTTGACCAACCTTTACCTTTAGTCAATATGTGTGCAGTAAAAAAAAGGCCAAGAAAAGTTACTTTTTGGGAGGATAACTCCCAGAACCATTACACAAGCTGTGTGTGTACTTTGATGGAACTGCACCATAGAAGGGCGAGCTCTCCAGGAACCTCAATATTGTGGAACCATGGGAGTTGTAGTTTGCCGAGGAACACCCCTCTCTCTTGGGCAGAGAAGGCAGAAGACCTCTTGGAACCCCACAGCAGAGAAAGGGGTGTCAAAACACAACAGGTATGGGCCAACTTGGGCCTTCCAGGGTGTTTTGGACTTAAGCGGCTGAGGGGGAAAAGGAAGGGGCCTGAGGCCGTGAGGAATGGTGGGAGTTGAAGTCCCAAACACCCTGGAAGGSCCAAGTTGGCCCTTGCCTGGTGTACTACAATGGGCCGTTCCCCGCCCAGCCTCCCCTCCCTCCGCCCCTCCTTCCCGCTCTTCCCAGCACCTCCCTCCGCGCAACCCGCCCCTCGMGGCCTCTCCCTCCTTCCCTCCCTCCCTCCCTCCCTCCGCTCCACGCACGCACGCAGGCGCGCGCTGATTTGCTCGCTCCCGCGGCCCAAGAGCGCGCACGCCGCCGCCACGGCTCCCTGCAGCGCCTCTGGTCGTTGCCTCCTTCGCTCGGCTTGTGGCCCTTTGCCTTCGCGGCCTGCAAGCCCGGGTCCGCCCGAGAAGGAAGGAGGGAGGGAGGGAGGGAGGAAGCCGGCTGCCCTCTGGCGGGGAGGGGCCCCAGCCCCGGCCTGCCTGCCTGCCTGCCCCTCGGACCCGATCCCCCGAAGAAGCAGCACCGCCTCAGGTAGGAGGAGCCGCCCCGCGTTTCGCCCCGCTCCAAGATGGAGCCTCAACCCCCCCCCACCTCCAAAAAGAAGCTGGCCCTGTGTGGAGGCCGGAGGGAGAGGGAAGGGAAGAAAGGAAGGAAAGACCCCTCCCCTCCGCCAGTCCCTCAAACGCAGTTTCTGAAAGAAGGAGCCGGAAGCAACTCACCCCCCTCTCCGCACTCTTCGGGTGTTATTGAGAGGCCTCCCTCCTTCCTTCCTTCTTTCCTTCCACCCAGGGCGGGAGCGGGCCCGGTTTTCCTGCCTCTTGCCGCCTTTCTGCGTTGGGCCAAGGCTTCCCCAAGAGAGCGCCTTCAGCCTCTCCATTCCCCAGCACACAAAGGGGACCCTTGCTGCCCCTTCCTTTCCTCCCCCTTCCACTCCACTATGCCTTCACGACATTAGAGGGAAAGGGGTATAAGCCAGCAAGAGAAACAATGACATCTTGGAATGGTGAAACAACATGAGTTGGTTGGTCCTGGTGAAGGGGTAAGGGGAAGAGGGAAAAACGGTATAATCATAGAATCAAAGAGTTGGAAGAGACCCCATGGGCCATCCAGTCCAACCCCCTGCCAAGAAGCAGGAATATTGCATTCAAATCACCCCTGACAGATGGCCATCCAGCCCCTGTTTAAAAGCTTCCAAATTATTATTATTATTATTAAGAAATACAATATGTATAAGTTGATAAAAGGTGTGTGATAGAGTTATATGTAGCATAAGTTGTAATGGAAATTTAAAAATCATGATAAGAAATATGATTAAAGATGTTTTTGATGTTTGAAAAAAAAAATACAAAACGACATTAAATGCTATCAGGAGTGAAATATTGGGAGGCCTCAATTCACCCAGGATGGGGGGTGGTGGTGGTGGTGGTGCACATTTTCCTGACCTATAAAGGCCCTTCCATACAACCAGAGGCAGCCCTAGGTAATTTTCTATGGTAAGCAAACAGTATCCCCCCCCCCCCCCACCAATCACTGATATGTCGTCGTTGGAGTTCTGTGTGCCATATTTGGTTCAATTCCATCATTGGTAGAGTTCAGAATGTTCTTTGATTGTAGGTGAACTATACATCCCAGAAACTACAACTTGCATAGGTCTATTTTCCCCCAAGAGCACCTCAAGAGCGCCCCTGGGCAAAATCAGCTATACTGCAAATGCTTACTTTGCGTAATGGTTGAACCACTCCTGCATACAACCCTATATCCCAACATACCAAGGCAGTAAATCCCACAATATTTGCTTTGAACTGGTTTATCCGAGTCCACACTCAGATAATGTGGGATTTTCTGCCATGATATTCCGGGATATAGGGCAGTGTGGAAGGGCCCTGAGTGTGGACTCAGATAACCCAGTTCAAAGCAGATATTGTGTGCATTTTCGTGCCTTGATATTCTGGGATATAGGACTGTGTGGAAGGGCCCCCAGAATATCAAGGCAGAAAATACCATAATATCTGCTTTCAACTGGGTTAGCTGAGGGTCCATCCACACAATGAAGTAAATAAATAAATTATACCCCCACCCTTCTCACCCCTGAAGGAGGACTCAGGGCGGCTTACATACTATGGCAGTAATTCAGTGCCAGATTCAGGCAATAACAATATCTTATAAAACTGTAGAAAACATATACATATCAATTAAAATAGTCTTTCAAACAATTAAAACATACCAAAAGTCTAGCACCAACTGAGCTTTGTAAACATTGAACCAATTGCTGTGCCATTCTTCCATAATATTTATGGGTCATATTAATCCCCAGTGGTTTGCTTAAATAGCCAGGTTTTAAGTTTCTTCCTGAAGCTTAAGAGCAAAGGGGCTGTTCTTTAATGTCCCCAGAATGTAAAATGGACTTTTGCTACCTCTTTCTTTTCTCCCTCCCTCCCACTCTCCCAACTGGGCTCTTGAATATGCCTTCATAACAGTAATATTACTGGTTCCTGCCTCCCATCTTTGGGTTTTCAAGATGTAAATGTGGATTGGTCTGCGGCTGCTGCTCCAACAATCTCCTTTCAGTCTTTGCTGAAAATGGGGGTGGTCCCTTCAAAATAAACAGGCAGCTTGTGTAGAAAGGGTAAGAGCGTGCCCTTCCCTTCCTTTCCCTTCCCGCTGTCCTGCTGAATAGGAACAAAAGGCAAGGCAGAGAGAGACCATGTTAGAGGCTGATATAGCCACTCAAGTGTCCTAAGTAAAGGACTGGATGAATAGTCTGAGCAGCTTTGAAAACTGATACAAGCGGAATATCCCTGATCCAGAAGCCTGAAACACTCCCAACCTGTCTTCATCCGTGGCTCAGATAGGGCCACCTTTGCTTTCTGATGGTTCAGTGTACACCCACATATATTGTTAAAACCCGCTAAAGATGACTTATTCATTGCGTTGTTGAAGGCTTTCATTGCCAGAATCACTGAGTTGCTGTGAGTTTTCCAGGCTGTATGGCCATGTTCCAGAAGCATTATTTCCTGCCGTTTCATCCACATCTATGGCAGGCATCCTCAGAGGTTGTGAGGTCTATTGGAAACTAGGCAAAGTGATGTTTATATATCTGTGCAATGTCCAGGGTGAAAGAAAACTCTTTTCTGTGTGAGGCAGGTGTGAATGTTGCAAGGGATCACTGTCTCAACCTCCCAACAAAGGATCCCTCCAGGCAGCAACCAGCCAAGCTCTGAAGCTGTAAGGCAACTAAATGCTAATCAAACTGGCCAAATTCAGCATTCACACCTGTCTCACACAGTCAAAAGTTCATAGATTTGGGTGAAACATCAGGAGAGAATGCTTTTGGAACATGGCCATACAGCCCGGAAAACTCACAGCAACCTACTTATTCATTTAGCCTCCTAGAGTCCCTTTATTGGTAGAAAGGCAGGATAAAAAATAAAGTACACACACAAATAAATAAATAAATAAGGCAACATTAAAATAATGTAAAATTGTTTATAGAACTAAAAACTCACTTTAAAAGTATGAGATTGAAAATGATATAGCACTAAACCAGAAAACCCATTGCAAGTTGAGCAGCCCTTATACAGAAATCCAAAATTCACCAGTATCCAAAATTGTCCACGAGGGGCTGAGATAGGGACAGTTTTGCTTTCTGATGGTTCAATGTGCACAAAGTTTGTTTCATGCACAATATTCTTTAAAATATTGTGTACAAAATATTTTCAGGTGTATAGGAAAGTTATATGGATTTCATGTTTATACTTGGGATCCATGTACAATGTATCTCGTTATGTACTGTATACACTCTTGTATATGTGTGAAAGCTTTCATCAAGATTGAACTAAAAATCATGAGTTAATTTATCTGTGGATTAATGTAAATACTATACCTTAACTGTTAAGGAAAAAAAGGAATCATGCCCCCTCTGAGTAGAATGGTGAAAGGTGAGAGCTTAGCCTGTCCCAGGAGAACCTACAAGAAACACCAGCCTCCTCTACTCTGCCTGCCATGGCATCACTCCAGGCCTTTGTGAATGCCAGGGTGGGGAAACAGAAGTTGCAGCAACCAGGAGCAATTGCCTCAAGGTGGTTCTGGTGCTTTTCCTTCCCCCATAGATTGACCTTTCACTTCAGGTCATATCAAAATCCATAGTTTGGGCTTCAAAACTTGCCCTTGACTTCTATATGTGATCGACATATGTCAGTATATTTGATATATGTGTACAAATAGAGGTATTCCAAAATTTGAAAAAGTCAAAAACACCTTTGGTCCAAGTATTTCAGACAAAAGTACTCAACCTGTGCAGATTGCTGGTAACACTCACCAGGCAGCTACCCCTTACCTGTATCCCTCAGTCTTATAATTTCTCCATTGCTCGCAATAAATCACCCTCCTAATATATACAAAACCATTAAAGGGTATATAGAAGAGGAGGAATACTCAAACTCTAGTACTGTATGGAGGGGGGGGGGGAGCAATGATGGGTGGTGGGAAGAACTGGAGTAAGCTGCTTTTGCACTGTCCTATTGGATGTGGCCACCCAATAACTGAGATGAATTACATATCTTGTACCTCACACACATTTTGTCTTTGGAATTTGTTTTCATTGCTCTCTCTCTCTGCCTTTTATTTTTTTCTGATTACTGTGTATGTAATGGAAATATTAAACTCACCTTATTTTATAAATATATAAAACTAACACTTATCTATAAGATGCAGAAAGTAAGAAGAGATTGTTGATTGCTGAATGGTATTATTTTGAATACATCTAGTATGAACTAATTATATATACAGTTCAGTTTATTGTAGCATTGTTTGCAAAACATATAGATCTATACTTTGCTGCATTCTGTGAACCAAGTTCCAAGCAAGTCCTTAGAAATAAGTTCACATTGGTAACTTGTTCTGTGCATCTACCAGCTATTCTAATTTGGACTCTGAGTCCTTAGGAAAGAAGTTGAGTTCATTGCTCAGTCTGATGTAAAATCAGTTATGAAAATGCTGACTTAAAAAAAAACCTTAAGGTTCAGTACAGTCTTTGGCATGTTCAAAAGTTTTTCTGATATTTTTTTCATTAGTTACTTCAGTGGATTTATGCATGTGACATATGAGGGGGGCCCCATGAAAACTGATTTTGATAAGACTGCAATATGTGGATTGCAGTAACAATTCCTTGTTTTAATGATAAAAGCCACAAACATCAACAGTTGTTTACTGTCAGGAAGCAAATGATTGGGCTAGAAGACAGTGGCTTGAAAGTCAACTCCCATTCCCCCATTAGTGGATTTGTTGTGAGCTTATTCTTGAGTCTCACTTATCAGGCCACTTAGAGCACACCATGCAGAAGAAGTTGAAGAAGAACTTTATTTTTCTACCCTGCCTCCATCTCCCCAAAGGGACTCGGGATAGCTTACATGGGGCCAAGCCCAGGCAAAATACAATTAAAATCAGAACAATAACAAATTTAAATAGTATAAAACAGCATAACAGTAATAAGCATCAAGCAACAGCAAACTAATTTTGGAGGGTGGAGGAAG